GGCCCCGAGTTACGCGGATCCGACTTATGTCGGATCCGTACTTACGAACGGGGCTTTTCTCGCCCCGGAGGATGCAGGCGGCAGGACCGCCCAACATCTGGGCACTCCAGCTGCCTGGGTCCTCCGCGGCTTTGCTCCACATCTCCCTGGTCTGCTGGCCCCCTCCTCCCCCCAGCAGACTAGGGAGATGCGGAGCAGCTTTTATCGCCCCGGAGGACGAGGGGGGCGGGGCCTCGGCGCGGGGTGAGAAAAGCCCAGTTCGTAAGTGCGGATCCGACATAAGTTGGATCCGCGTAACTCGGGGACTGCCTGTATATGGAAGGTTGGTCAGAATTACAAATTTTTCTAGTTCAAATATCTTTTGTTTAGTGCTAGTGCTGCCTTGTCCAGTCTCACCGCACCTGTTCTACAGCTCTACTGAAGTATAAGGGAAACTTCCATTGACTACATTGGGTTTGTCACAGGCCCGCAGAGAGTAGTTTGTTTCAGAGAGTTTAATAGGCTCTATGAGTGCTGTCTGCTTTGGGCGTAGTTCGTAAAACAAATCATCTCTGTTCATGATTTACCCACAGTCAAAACAGTAGGATGCTGACTCAAATAAATAAAATATACTTAGAAAGTTGCTGAAGAAAAGTCCCTATTCAGCTTCTCTGTATTTCCTAGTTTTCAGCTGTGCCCTCTCCTTGCTCAAGATAAAGTTATCGTTTTGCCTAGCTGTCATTTTTCCAAGACTGCTTTGTTTCATGTGTGATAGCTAGATGGAAAGTAGTCACATGCAGGATGCCATTTGGTAGAAATCCTGAGCCCCTGTGTTTAAATGCTCTGCACATTGGACTCTCATTTTGCATTATTGATTTATTTTGGTTGATGCACTCACTCATTTGATTAAAAGGGGGCACCATCTTAAAATGTAATGTAACCACCCTCCCCAACCATGTCCAATGACCTAGCAGCTGAACCTCATACTGAAGATAAAACAGTTACTTACCTCTGTAACTGTTGTTCTTCAAGATGTATTGCTCATGTCCATTCCATGTAGATGTGCGCGTACTGCCTGCATGCGTCATCAGAAGCACCCATTGGGCCAGCAGGGGAGCCCCCTGGAGTGGCACTGCTATATCGGTTCATATATACTCCTGCTGGCCCTCCATCCCCTTGGTTCCTTCTTACTGGACCACTCCAAAGAAGGGGAGGCGGGCGGGATTTGAATATGAGCAACACATCTTAAAGAACAACAGTTACAGATGTAAGTAACCGTTCTTTCTTCTTCGAGTGATCACTCATGTCCATTCCATGTAGGTGACTCCAAAGCAGAAACCCCAGGAGGCAGGGTCGGAGTTCTAACCTTCAACTGAGTGGAGGATAGCCCTACCCAGGGCTGTGTACTCCCTAGCCCGGTGGGCCAGTGTGTAATGATTGGCAAAGCAAAGCAAGAGCAGAGCACATTCCAACGACCGTTACAGGTGGTAAGAAGGAACCGAGGGGGTAGAGGGCCAGCAGGGATCTATATTAGCCAATAGAGCAGCAGCACTCCACGGGACTCCCCTGCTGGTCCAACAGGTTCTGCAAAGGGAAAAATCTTCCAATGACGCATGCACACAGCAGGCGCACACCTACATGGAATGGACATGAGCAAACACTCAAAGAAGAACTTACCATCCCCTGCCAGAGTCCTTCTACACCCTTACATTAAGGTGTAGAAATATGTCATGGAGGTTGATAAACAAGAGTTGCTTTGTACTGATTTGCCTTCTCTGTTGAGATGCCAGCTGTATGTTTGATTAGTGCTACTTGTTACGGTGGTGGGTTTTGTTATGTGGCCAAAAGCCATCATGACTAAGGCCATCAAAAAGTCACTAGACAGTAATGCTATTTGATCATGACTGACCTGGGTGGGATTCACACTGGTCACTACAGGTTTGATTTTCATTTAAACTAATGGGAGTAAGACGGTTAGGGTATGTCTAGACTGCATCCCTCTGTCGGCAGAGGGATGCAGATTAGGCAGGTTAACATTGCAAAAGAAGCGGGGATTTAAATATCCCACGCTTAATTTGCATAACAATGGCTGGCGTTTTTGCCAACTCAGCACTTTGTCGGCAAAAAGAGGCAGTCTAGAGAGGGATCTGTCAAGAATGAAAGGCTTTTTTGACAGATCCTTTTGACTCCTTGCAGAAGGCATATGGGATCTGTCAAAAAAGGCTTTCTTTCTCAACAGATCCCCCTCTAGACTGTCTGTTTTTGCCAACAAAGTACTGAATCAGCAAAAATGGTGGCCATTTTTATGCAAATTAAGCATGGGATATTTAAATCCCTGCTTCATTTGCAATGTCGACCTGCCTAATCTGCATCCCTCTGCTGACAGAGGGATGCAGTCTAGACATACCTGTAGATGCTTCTGAAAATTCCTTTGGGCAGCTGTGTGTACCATGAGGTGCATAAATACCTTTTAAAAGCTGGCTCAAAGCACTTTAAAAATGTTGGCCAGAATTATTGTCCCCATTTGGTAAAGAGGAAAAATGGAGACAAACAAATTAACAACTCAGTCCCTTGATTTTAATGGGAGATGGTCTGGCATAGCCAGGAATCAAACCCAGGTCTGATGCTCCATCACTGGAGCTCACTGTCTAATCAGTTACCAGTGTGTTCCAGGAAGCCTGGAGGTTTTGTGGTTCTGTATAGTCATAACACTCATTCAATGAGTTCAAGATTGAATGTGGGGAAAGATGGAGAAACTAGGGTTCAGTTCTTGCCCATTAATTTCAGTACATTCAAAACCCTCATTCCCCCACCCACCCATCCAGGGAAAGGTTCAGACCCAACAGGACGGAGGTTTTTTTTGTAACTGTTCACAATGGGAAGTGGGCAGAACTTACTTCCAACAGCACAGTGTGTGATGTTTATGTAACAGCTTGATTCAGCATCAAAGTGGGTCCTCAGATATCTGCTGAACTAAAGATGAAATATTAGGGATGGACCCAGCAGACTCTAATATGACCCATTGGAGCAGGTTAATATTTCTAGCCAAATTATTCTCCCAGCCCAAGGCTGGAACTAGTCAGCTGGCTTATAATACTCAGCAATTACAGCATGACTCCACACATTATAAAGGTAAATATGTCCCATTTGAATCAAAAAGACATTTCTGGGCAGAATTACATCCCTGCTGATTAATTATATTTGTCTGTTAAATAAAACTGTTTTCCTGCTGCCTTCCTTTAGCAATAACAGCATGAGAACCTGGCTGGTAATATTTTGTGTCCCAACAATATATAATGCCTTCATGTAACATGATGATCCCTGTTACAAATAGGTTATACACATTTCTAAGCAGTTTCAGACTAAATAGGAAGCAAAACACATCACTCAGGAATTGTTGCTTTATTGCAAAGATCTTTCTGTCAAGACAAGGGGAGGGGATTGTACATTCTGAACTGGGATGTGAGGTTCTAATTGCTGAGGTATAGTGAAATTTGGTTACATATATCACCACCACTTTCACAGCCTTTTACTGCTCCTGTTGAAGGGTACGTTTAGACTGCAGGCTTCTTTTGACAGAAGCTTTTTCAGTTCAAAGCTCTTTCAAAAAAACTTCTTTTGAAAGAGAGCATCCACACCTCAAAACCGGATCAAAAAAGCGAACTGCTTTTTCGAAAGAGAGAGTCCAGACTGCATGGATGCTCTCTCGAAAGAAAGCCATGATTGCTATTCACAGAATGGCCACGAGGGCACCTGTGCTTTTCTTGATTGCCTCTTCTTTTGAAAAATGTCCCTGTTCTGCGTCCACCTATGCCTTTTTTCGAAATAGCTCTTTCGAAAAAGGAGTTTTTCCTCATAATATGAGGTTTACCAATGTCGAAAAAAACCCTGCATTCTTTCGATTTAATTTCGAAAGAACACAATTGCAGTGTGGACGTAGGTAAAGTGTTTTTGAAAAAAGGGCAGTTTAAAAAAAAATGTAGTCTAGACATACCTGAAGTCAGCAGCAAAACTGAATGGGAGTGAGATTCAGACTCCAGACTTGTGTTGATCAAACTTTTAGGGCCGTACTGTGTCTGGCCCTATAATGGATGAAGTTGGGGGCGAATCTGCCAAGTGCCTGCATTACACTTGTTAGGGATGGTTTACATAAAAAATTGCTCTGCTGTGATTGCAGGGGACGGGACCAGATGACCTCTCAAGGTCCCTTACAGTCGTAAGAGTCTGTGATTAGCCAGTTGCAATGATAATCCTTCTACTCTAGAAAACACAGGAATTCCTCTATTTTAGCCCTATCGGTGCAAATCACGTCGAAGGAGATGGGGAAAATGGAAACCAAGGCCATATGCCCCATCCCCCAGCTTCCACCTAATGCAGCCTTCACCAATCCATGGCTCACTGGCCAGAAAAAAAGACAGGAGAAAATGCTCACATTCTATAGAATGGGGTCACATGCACTCTTGAGACAGAATCCCTCAGGGTATGTTTACACTAGCTCGTTAATTCGAGCTGGGTAGGCAAATCAGGCAACCGGAGTTGCAAATGAAGCCCAGGATTTAAATATCCCGGGCTTTATTTGCATGTTCCTGTCCGGCTGCCATTTTTAAATCCCCCTTAGTTCGAACTGCCCTGCCCGCAGCTACATTCAGCAGTTTAAAGTTAATCCGAACTAAGGACTTAGTTCGGATTAAGTGTTACTCCTCGTGGAATGAGGTGTAACAGTTAATCCGAACTAAGTTCTCAGTTCGGATTAACTTTAAACTGCCGTGTGTAGCCACAGGCAGTTCGAACTAAGGAGGATTTAAAAATGGCGGCCGGACGGGAACATGCAAATAAAGCCCAGGATATTTAAATCCCAGGCTTCATTTGCAACTCCGGTTGCCTAATTTGCCTACCTAGCTCGAATTAATGAGCTAGTGTAGACATACCCTCAGAGTATTCCTCCTGGTATTGTGAACTGTCACACTGCCTCAAATATGAGCCAGTGCAAAAAACAAGGGCCAAATCCTCAGCTGGTATTCATTGACACAGTGCCATAGACTTCATTATGCTCCTACTCAGCTGCAGATTTAAAAAGTTGCAGCTTGTGGGTGTAACAGCAGAGACATTCAGGACCTGATTGCTTTGCCTTGGCACCAAAATGCACAGGAGGATTCAATGGGACACATTTTCCACCCAGTTACAATGGGACAACCAAGTTAGCGTCCCTGTGCGGAGTTTGACCTTTTCTCGCCTGGAAGATGGAACCTTTGTTTCTGTGCTCATATCTGACTTGGGAAGTTCTCATTGCTTCATGGATCCACAGGTAGTGATTAATCAGGTATAATTACCAAAGATGGTTACCCTTTTAGTAGAATTTTACTATGAACGTGGATATGCTGTTTCAAGTAAGACATTTTAATCAAAATTTCCTACATCTGTTTTTTCTAATTCTAGGCCAGGTGATATGATCACACTGCTAGAGGATTCTAATGAAGACTGGTGGAAGGTACAAGCCAAACACTCTATATCCTTTAACAAAATAGATGAATGGTATTTATAATGAGTATGAAGGTCATTCCTTTGTTGATGTGCTTGCTCCACAGGGGAGAATTGAGGACAGAATAGGATTTTTTCCTGCTAATTTTGTTCAGAGAGTGCAACAAGATGAAAAGATTTTCAAGTGCATCAGAACATTTATCGGATGCAAGGAGCAAGGACAGATTACTCTGAAAGAGAACCAAGTAAGTGAAATACATGATTTACTATACATTAAGGACACAGCTTTGCATTCCTTGTGCACCCTGTAATCTGCTGGATTTCATCAGAAATTTTGGGTAAGCAAAGAAATCATGAGCTGATACTTTTGCAGCACATGTATTTTTTTCAGTATTACCTATATTGTGGTAACACCCTAGTAACCGTTCAGGATCATGGCCTCATTGTATGGACATTAGAATTATGTGGGAAACTGTTTTTTTCCTCTCTTGATAGTTTTCAAGATTTTAAAATTTCTTCATATGCCAACTTGGGCTGAACACAAAATCTCAAAAAATGTCATACACATATCTGGAAAAAAATTCTGATCAGGCTATTCTAAATGTTTCCTTTCAATAATTTTGACACATACCATTTATATTGGCCTTTTTAAACCTCTGCTTAATATAAACTTACTCTGACTTCAAAACAAAGTCATTATAAACCAGAAAATGGAACATTTTATTTTGAAAATATAAAAAAACCAAGATATTTCAATAGTTGCTGTTTTTAAAAAACAAAATCAAGAGTTTCATGAAAAACAACCCTTTCCCACAAACAATTTCAGTTTTGAAAAAACAATATTTTCCAATGAAAACATGTTTTGTCCGAAAATTCTGACCAGCTCTCTAACAAACACTGGGAAGACAGACAGTGCATCTGTTCATGGTCTAAATCAGTAGTTCCCAACCTTTTCCATATGGGGACCCATTCTGACAATTCAGGAAGACTTGGTGACCCAAGGCAATTCGAAAATGGGGGGAGGGGAGCAGAGCTACCTGGGGAGACACTTGGAGACCCTTTTGAAATATAATGGCGACCCATATTTGGGTCCCAACTCATAGGTTGGGAATCTCTGGTCTAAATGCTCAATACCACAGAGATGGTTAATTTTACATATTGTGAATTATACTAGTGAGTTTGATGTGACAACAAAAAATGCATAACGTTATGCCCATATGTAAGTTTTTTGCAGAACTGGGGCTTAATTTAAGACAAAAATCAACAAATGTGTCTAACAGACAACAACAAGGAAGGGGAGGTTGAGAGTAACAGTGATGGGAATGCCATATGTGGGGCAATATGTGAACCAATAGAGCAGGGGAGGGGAACCTCAGGCCCAGAGTCCTGGCTTGCCTGGATCCAGCCCCCAAGACTCAGGGGCCTGGATTCAGCCCCCAAGACACAGCACTGGGGAGCTGGTGCTCCAACCCCCCTGTTGCTCCACCACGGGGCTGGACATGCAAAATCTACTAGGCTACTCCCCCTCCTCCCAGGCTGTGATGTGCAAGGGGAATGTGGGAAGTGGCTTTCTCCTTCTCAGTCAGGGGCCACATCAGTGAAGGTGGTGGGGAGGTGGTTTGTTTTTTGCTTCTTACTTATGTGCAGCCCCCAAATGATTTTTTTCTGTGGATCAGTGGCCCCCACCCCTGAACTAGAGGTTTCCACACCATTGAAGATGGAATTTTCAAAATTGCTTTGCATTGGGCCTTATCTTGCTCCCAATGGCTTGATTTCAAAGGGAGCAGAGGTAAGATCCTCTTGAGCATCCTTTAATTATAATTTTAAATGCTTTTCCATTCCATAGCTCCTTGTGCCTCCCTTTCGCCCTCATTCCTACACATAAGCTATGTCTACACTACAGAGTTTTTTGAGGAAAACAGCCTCAGAAAAAAGTTTCTGGAAAAACTTCAATTATGTCCACACTGCAATCGCATTCTTTTGAAAGAAAATCCTGCCCCCAGAGGGTTTTTTCCTACATTCTTCCTCTTTCTATGAGGAAGACACCTTTTTCCGAAAGAGCTCTTTCGGAAACAGGCATGTGTGGACCGGGAGGAGGGAGTTCTTTTGAAAGAAGAGGAAAAAGCACAAATGACCTGATGGCTATTCCACCCATAGTAATCACAGCTGAAATGCGAGATAGCATCCACACTGAATGGACGCTATCTGTTGAAAAAGCAGACTGCTATTTTGATGTGCTTTGGCAGTGTAGCTGCTCTCCTTCGGAAGAAGTGTTTTCAGATCTCTTCTGGAAAAGCTTCTTCCGAAAGAAGCCTGCAGTCTAGCCATAGACCATAGATTGGAAAAAATACCCCTTTGGCATTTTCTCGCCGTGTATCAGCTTGGACTTTCACCATCTGAAGGATTTTATCAACTCCTCCCCTTTGATATTTTTAAATGTACACACAAAATAATGGACATTGCATTCATCTGGAGATATGCCTTTTGTGTGTTCTTATTTTAAATTTGATTGTATCACTAACTTGGGCTTTTATGGGATTGCACTGGTGTAAATGAACATGGAATTTGTCCCAAATTCTACATTAAAAGAATATTGACACTAACAAAAGCACAGTAGCATAACTAAGGAAACAAACAACTAAGAGAAAATATATTCTCTCATACAAAGGGACATCAGCTTGAAATCTTTCTCAGTGCAGCCTGTTAGAGATAATTAATTTCCCCTCTTTATGGGGCTTTTTCTTTCCTTCGGAGATTTGATTCACATCTCATGGTCTTAAGAATCAAATTCACAGGTTGACTTGCACTCTTTGCAGTGCCACTGACCTGAATGTAGTTTGTGTCAGCACAGAATTTGACCCCTAATGTTTCTTTAATGTAGCATTTACTTATGACATTTGTTAGCACCTCAGTTCAATGGTAGGTTAGGACATTTCACCCCTTTGATGCAGAAGAATGTTGTTGCTAACATTCTGTGGCAACATCAGCACTGTAAATAAGATATTGGAAGAGTGGTACTCGGATTATATAGTTTGACTTCCCTCCTGCAGCAAGTACATTAAGCAGCACTGACGCTGTTAAAGTGAGATAAGCTGAGTGAAGTTTTTTAACATCACGGTAAATTAATGGAAATGTCTTCACTCTGGGCCTGATTTTCCACTGCTCTGCACCTTGTGTGACTATTTTCATCTGTGCAAAAGGATGGAAAAACATTATCCATTCAGGATACCAGGGGTTTATACCACTTTGCATTGGTGTAAATGACTAAGTAAGGTGGACAGGAGTGGAGAATCTAGCCCTGTGAACTTGACGTGTCAACACAAAGGTATTTTTGACAGATGATTTATTTGATCAAATCAGATTATAACGTCAAGCACATGATATCCCATCAATTAACATGACAACTCCTATAAATGCTAGAGATCAGTTGTCTTGTATCAATTCCCATAAAACTATAATTTCCAAAAGGTCCAACATAAAGTCTGGCACTAGTCTCTAAACAATATTTCAGAATAGAATTGTATCAAAACTATGGCTCCTTTTTTCAGTTCAATATATGAATGAAATAGAGGTGGACTAATTCATCCTGTCAACCCCTTTTGGTAGGGATGAGCAAACTTGTCTTGCTTAATTGTCACCTGTGCAGACACAGAAGTTCAACTTGAATGCTGTGGCATTTTCTTTCTGCTTAGGATGGGCTGGGGGAAATGGAGTGAAGGAGAAGAAAACATGTTCAATGAAAAATGGAGTACAGAGATCAGGCAGAGTGAACAAGTAAATGCAGAGGAATGTGAGGAAAAGATGCAAGGACTGACAACAAAATCTTATGAAGGAATAATTGTAGGGGGTCAGATTATGACCAGCCACCTCAGGGAGATGAAGAAGGGGTGTTGTAAGCAACCATCAAGCCACCTTGCACAATGTCCACAAAGGTGATCCAGTCACAATTCCTTCATGAATCCTTCTCTTCATCCTGGAACTACCCCAGAGGTGGTCTGGCCTCCACATAGGGCTATACTGAACTGGCCCTTAATGATTCAGATCCAGCCCAGTTGGTTGTTATTACCATTTGAACATTCACTGGTAACTTGTATGAAATGCATTGGTGCTCTCAGTCCTAATGCAAGGGAGTCACGTGGGCCCCAAAACATCACCCCAGTTGGCATCCTGGCTGGCAGTTTCAATCGAGAAGCAAAATAATGAACAGGCATAGTGATTGTACCAACCTCCCTTGGTCCATAAGGCGGGTACTTTCAGGCCACTGAAATGAATTGGCGAGACAAAGCAGGGATGCTTTCACAGCTGCTCCAGTTTTACAGATAAATAGAGGGCATCAGCCTCCACCACTGTCAATCTGATACCTTTCTAAAGGTCTACATCCCAACAGTGAGCTTGTATCCAAATTACTATTTGATGGGAACCAAGGCATGGCATGGCAACAAGCAATGGTATTTTAAGACATGCAGGGACCAGGGAGACATTTTAGGAGTGAAAATAAGAGGCAGCAGTAAAACTCAGGGAAAGGTCAGAGTTGTTGTTTGACAAAAGGGCAGTTTCCACTTGTGTCCTCTATGGGAAGGGCAAAGTAAAGGACTCTTGTGAGCTGGAGACAGTTAATAACTGTGCAGTGTAATAAATCATTTGCTAATTATTCATCTTGTCCATCTGTTAAGGGGGAAAGGATGGACAAGAATTCTTCAGCATCAAAACATGTTGCCAAGTTCAGGGAACAGTCAGGATCCCAGCAAACTTCTTTTTAAAATAGAATGGAAACAAAGAATTGAGGAAGTGAGTTTCTAATTTTAGATCATGTTTTCTGCCTCCAGTTCTTTCCTGAGACCACCCGCTACCTCAGAAATAGCACAAGAAATGGTCACTTACACCATTTCTAACCTCAGGAACCAGAGGCAGTTTTTTTCAGAGCCTGTTTGCGGTGCTAGTTCGTCCGGGAGTTGCTTCCCAGCTGCTCACTTGCTTTGGCACTACGGCAGCCTCCCATGCCTGAACATGACCGCATGAGTAGGAGCCATTTTAAGCAGATTCCAATTTGCAATACGTAGTAAGCAATGAATGCCCAACAGCAGCAGTCTCTCCCCCTCCCCCTTCCCCCCATAGCCCCAACATTGTTTTGCATTTATCAACAGTGCTAGTTCTGTGTAACAGCTGAGGCACTATGCAGGGTTCCAATCTAACATGGCAGCTATTAGCAAAAAGGGTCTTCAGTCGCCATTAATTTAGATGCCCTTTACAGTTCTTGCATGTCACTGACTTCCTTGAAGTTATCTTGCTCAGGGGTAAATCAGGAACAAGAATCAGGTCCAAAGATTACAGGTTGCAGCCAGTGTTTCTGGTCAAGCTCTGTTGATTCAGGACCCACGAGAGATGAAGGAAAAAATAGCTTAATGACACCTTTGCATGCTCCCAGACCCTAAGGTTGCTAGGGGCTGCTCTGGCCCACTGCACAGCTTGTAAAACCTTGTGGGCTCATCTAAGTTCTGGCAGCTGCTACTGCCTCCTAAGATGGATTGCTGAGGTGCAGTGCACTGTGGCCAGGTTCATTTCTCCCCTGATACATCTGTTCACTGGAAAAGGGCAGCATAGTGCCAGTTGGCGGTCCCCACAAGCAAGGACTAGAATAGTACAAGTTTGCAAGATAAATTAATTTGGACAGGCAATCACTTGAAGGAATATTTTTATTCACAGCACAACAGGCCAGCTGTAGTCGGTCTTTGGGTTTTCGCTTTCCTCAGAAGCATCCAGGATTGACAGCACCTGGAGACAGGACCCTGGGCAGGCTGGTGTGGTGTTCTGAGGTGCTGAGTTAGAGGCCTGGCTAGTATATCTTGCTCATGGGCTGTGGATCCCAGTGATCACCAGATGTAGGATTGGAAAGGAATTGTTTTGCCTGTCAGATTTTCAGGGTCCTTTTTTTTCTTCACCTTTGTGGCATGAAACATGGCTTCCCTGCTAGTTTCATTTGAGTATATCCTATCTACTCCCTTCTCTGCCCTTGCAGTGGGCATGGACACTGGTGACCTCTCAGTGTGGCACAAAACTTTTTAATCTGAGGACTAAACTGCTTTAGTCTAATCCCAGGAATTGGGTTCAACACAGGGGTAACAGGATTAAATGTAAAGGTCTGTATAGACAGGAAGCTAGATGCGCCCTTCTAGCTTTCACCTCTTTCACCTCTATATCCTCTCATCTAATTAAGACTCAAATCTGCCACCATTTCATACAGGGTATTGACAGCAGTGGGAGCTCTAAAGGGGATCTCATCAGCTGGATCAAAAACCTTTCAAAAGCCCAGCCTGTTGTTCAGTTATCATAGAGGTGGATGTGAAGAGTGAAACAAGATTTTTGTTAGTCTGTGAATAAATGATTTTATTTTACCCATGAAGAATTCTGCCCATTAGGAGGTAGACATCTTAATACTTTGGAGGATCTGGGCCTATACGTATGTACAGCACCTACCAGAATTGGGCCTTTATCTAAGAGGTGGCATTTAGGTATCACAATAATATAAATCATCGTCCTGTTGAAAATTATACTGTTATGCATGTCCTCTGAGTAACTGTAACTAAATATTGCACATACTAGCAGCATATTCCCTCCTGTACAAAGACAGTACCATGCAGTGATAGTTCAGCTGGCACGGCATCAAGAATGCAAGAGACCCCGGGAGAGAGTTTTCAGTTCCCCAAATCATTGCTGTAGATGCATCTGCTTTCTGCCTAATATTTGAATGCTGATTGATTTCAATAACTTGTTTGCTGGAAGTGTACGGATTCTTAGCGCCACATTGTACCCTGTGGGCTTACAATGTTGAGAGTGATTTGGGGTGCTTTGTTTGTTCCTTACCAAACTGATATATTTCAGAGGGACTAATTTGTAGAAAGCAGCTCCTCTGTAATGTGTAAAAAGCAAGCCTCTTAAAATTGTCCCAAGCTGGGCCCTCTAAACCTATACTACCTAAAATCGCTAGGCACTTCAGAGAATACATTATTTATCCCTAGTATTGTAGTACAGTCTTGATGCTTCACTTATGATTGGCTCCCATTGTCATAGCCACTAAACAAACACACACAAAGTGACAGTCCCTGCTTCAAAATCCTTGCTCAAAGATACTTACTACTGACGTCAAGAAAAACTGCATGTGTACGTTGGCACTTCTAAAGGAAATCCTTGATCACTTTGTATATGGAGATGGAGTTTCTTACGTTCAGAGTTGAAATATAAAGAGGACAGCTAAATTTACAGGCTTTATAAGCACGAAGTCTCACCCACACAGCAAGCACTCACGCTTGGAATAGAGTGGCTGGTTTATCTGACTATTTCTCCCCCTCTTTAACTTCAGATCTGCGTGACTTCTGAAAAGGAACACAATGGCTTTATCAAAGTTTACTGCGGGAAGAAGAAAGGCTTTGTCCCCCTAGATGTCTTAGAAATCATCTGATTTCAATAATGCACTCGCTGCAGTAGGAAAGCTTTGCTGGCAATGCCTGTCTGCCTCATCTCACACTGTGTCAACCCAGCTGGGCTGTCTTGCAGATGATCAGGGACTAGTGAGATGACCGCAGCACCAAAAAAAGACACTTAGACTGTTACAGCAACAAGAAATAAAAAGATAAGAGGATTGATTAAAAGAATATATATCAGGAATCCTCCAGGGGGAAAGGGACCAAAGAAAGTAAAAGGAATAAGGTAAGAAAAGTCTGGATTCGCTCATTTCCAGCACAAGTTGGCTATTAATTACCCCGCTGGAGACAGACAGACAGACAGACAGGCAGCTGTTCTGAAGGACTAACCTCACACCCTGCTCATGTGTCTTAAAAAAAAACTGTTGGAATGTGTTTTTGTTTGAAGTGTTATTGGGGGAGGGGGGGAAAGGTTCAAGCTGTCCTTGTAGTACAGTCTGATCTTGTAGTAAAAGTGTGACTATGATTCTAGAGTTTTGTCCACCGTATTAGCCAATCAGCATAGCGTTTAATCCTGATGTCAAGTCTCATAACAAAGCAGTTTGGAGGCACTGTGTAAATGTCAGTCTGAGAAGTGCACCGTTGTATTGACGTCAACGGCTTTCTCTTTATGCTGAAGAGCGGCCAACTTCTACATCCCCTTGCTTTGTCTGTATACAAACAAAACTCTTGGCACATGTTGGATGTAACAGCTGCTCTGGTAGCTGACACACTTAGAGTCCCTCCTGTTCAGAAGGCCAGGCTGGAAGTATTCCTGTGTGATCCTTGCTCCTTTATCTGGTGGCAGAATAAGTATCAGAAGTACAGAGCTGAGTGAGAGCTCCATGATTGAAAACTTTTCTATTTTTCCATGGATACTAAGTTGAAAGAGATTTTGTACATTGATCCTGTTGATAAGTAGTAGAGGATCAATCAAGCCTCTCCAGAGTAAAACACTAGAAAAGAACTTAAGGAATTGATGGTGAAGTCAGGAATCCTCCCATTCCAAAATCAGAGAGAGAGAGAAAGGAACTAGGCTATCATTTAATTATATTAACACAAAGTCTCTTGCTTCAGTCACTAGATGGGAGTATTTAAGAAATTAGTGTAAGATAAATTCTGCCTTCACACACACACATGCAAACGTTACTAATGACAGTGAGGCTGAAAGAGGCGTCTGTTAAGGCAATATTTGGCCTAGTGTCTGCAGTCTGCTTCATGTAGGTCCCAGTCTTGTAATCTGTTCTGTGCCTATGACCCCTGAACACATGCAGAGTTCCTTTATCTTCAACGGTCTCTGGGTAGGCATCAGAGTCTGCCAGTGCAAATCAGACTGCAGCATCAGGACCTTGGTCTATAGGTCTCATAATAACTGTCACTTAATAATGCTACCCCATATTATTACCAGGAGTGCTAGAAAAATGTTTACAGTGTGAGTGCTGAGAGCCCTTGAACGAAATGCCAAACCCTGTATATAATGAATAGTCTACTATAGCAGCACCTTAAAGACTAACAAAATATGTAGATGGTATCATGAGCTTTCATGGGTACAACCCACTTCTTCAGACAAATGGAGTTATTAAAAATCCAGATCCAAAAATAAATAGGAGATGGGAAGGGGAAAGGAAGGGGGGGAAATAGTGAATGAGAGTGTTCAAGTTACAAGAAGCTGATAGAGGAGTGCAAATTGTTCTAAAGTACCTATTGTTTAGTTGGTTAAATCATTAGGATGTGGAAAGTAGTGTGCTAGCCAGGTAATGTAGTGTGCTACCTTTTTGATGGCTCCCAAACTTGTAAATGAAGCTAAATTCAAAATGGAATCCACTTTAAGCCAGGGGATATGACAGCACCCCCAGCATCCCAAGTTCCAGCACCTATGGTTACTACTATGGTTGCATCTGAAGAAGTGGGTCTTTGCCCATGAAAGCTTATGCTCCTATACTTCAGTTAGTCTATAAGGTGCCACAGGACTCCTCGCCGCTTTTGCAGATTCAGACTAACACGGCTACCCCTCTGATACTAGAGATAGACCCAAATCAAAATCCTAAATCCACACAAAGGGGAAGTGTCAGTTCTGCATCTGAACTTCACATGTGTCCACACTCTCTAAAATGGGCTGAACCATACACTCCCACAATCAAACACTACAGAATTGTGAGTCTGTATCTCTGGATCCTGGTCCTGCAATCAGATTGGCCTAGATGAACAGTCCATATAGAGCCTTCCTAAGGACAGCAGGGACTCATTCAGCCTCCGAGGTCCAACCTCTGATCTGCAAGATCAGAGCCATATATCATAGCTCTCTTCTGCCTCTCATTATTGTGGTAGTGTCAGCTGCTGAATCTGTTTTTTTCATAGCTGATGTAAGCTAAACAAATCATATCATGGTTTTACCTAAGCCATGTTCATTTCAGATATTGTTCTGTGGGGAAGATATAGAAATGTCCTTTTTCAGTATGAACAATGGACTACTTTCACTCATCTTATTTTCCAATGTAATCAAAAAACTTCAGGAAGGGGGCAGGATTGAAGATGCTGATATGGCTTAGAGACCAAGATGAAAAACAGCTGAAATGTTACTATTCCATCCTGCTTTATAACACTATTTTATTTGATATTTACCAAATTTTTAAAAATCTCAATGCCTGTTACAACTGAAATTATTGCTTACTTTGGTCTAGCCTGTTACGCATAGACTAGGGAAATCTGTTTAATCTATACATATGTGCTCTTGTTTACATGATTGCATCATACTGTGATTCCCTCCTATGTCACTCTCCTCCTATTTTAATTTTTCCCTAAAAAATGCATCATACTATTCATAGAATAATATGAACATTAACTACAATTCACAATGGCCTTTAAGCAATGTCTGTTGATTTCTTTTGATACAAAGCAATAAATAATAAAGTGACTGAAAAGCCCCTATGTGGATTACATCATGGTGGATCAAGCATTGCTTTCTAAATAAAAGCTTTCATGGTTATTCTTACTTTTTCCTTTTCTGTCATTGTTTGATGTATATTTTGTCCCTGATTCAGCAAGTTGTTTATGCATGCACAGTGCTTTAAGCAAAAAAGCAGCCAATGGATCATATGCTTAAAGCCAAAAACTTCCTTATAACTTTACTCATCAATTTTGGATGCCTTACTCTGATTCCAGACTAGCATTCCATAGGGATTTTTTCTACTATGTGCAGTTAACCATAGATATTTGCATTAATAAACAGGATGGGACAGATGCAGTGATGGACTGAACTTTATCTAACACTCGCTGATATTGAATCTTAGGCAATAAGAGTTGTTCACATCTAATATTATATTTTGCTTAATAAAAAACATGCAATGGCTGTCTGGAAGTAGAATGAAAAACATGTGTTCCACCCTCTTCATTGCACTGGGGCTGCATCTAGACTGGCAAGTTTTTCCGCAAAAGCAGCTGCCAGCTATCTACACTGGCCACTTGAATTTCCGCAAGAACACTGACGATCTCATGTAAGATCCTGAACAGCTCCTGTTGTCGATGCCTGCAATAAGTGCACCGATAATGTCACTGTAGTGGTAAAACACCCAGGCTACGTCTAGACTGGCATGATTTTCCGCAAATGCTTTTAACGGAAAAGTTTTTACATGAAAAGCATTTGCGGAAAAGAGCGTCTAGATTGGCACGGACGCTTTTCTGCAAAAGCACTTTTTGCGGAAAAGCGTCCGTGCCAATCTAGACGCTCTTTTCCGCAAATGCTTTTCATGTAAAAACTTTTCCGTTAAAAGCATTTGCGGAAAATCATGCCAGTCTAGACGTAGCCTGGGTGTTTTACCACTACAGTGACATTATCGGTGCACTTATTGCAGGCATCGACAACAGGAGCTGTTCAGGATTTCATCAGTAGTCACTGAAAAGACTAATCAAAGTTACTGCTCTTTCAGACTTCTGTTTTACAACCCACACCAGTGTGCCCTCCAAACTGAGTGCGTGGGCAGCCACCCACGACAAATTCAATGCCGCCCAGCTGATTAGCAGAGTGTCCACAGCCAGAAACAGCTCACAGCATGCATTTCTATTGATGGTGCACATCCACAATGTACATAACAAAATGTATTCTGCACATGAATAGAAAAAAAATTAGAGGGAACATTGGCCCCACACCAATCACACCTATGTCTGACTATAGCAGGATTTCTTACAACACTTTTTGAAGCAGCTGGTCCTGGCCATTATCAGACACAGAATACCAGACTGGCTGGACCACAGGTTTGACACACTGTGGTTCTTCTCTATATACTTATTCACACATGCAAGCAGAAAGACGTATGATTTTCCACATCCACCGCATGCTTAAATAAGTGTCTCATACAATTGTGAAAGACTGAAAAATATTAAAATACAGTCAGTTCTCACGTGATCTGGAATAGCTGGTGGGATGAAAGATATTACCGTGTATATTAGCCTAACTTCCACTAATTTATTCATAGTCATCAACCAACCAAACCAGTTCATTTTATACGTTTCATGTGCAGTCACAAATCACCATAAAGGGGTGTGCAATAAGTTTTATGGCACACATGGTGCCTGGATCTTAAACATGTTCTATTGGGACTATATGTCAACAAATTCCTCGTATTTAATTTTTTCCATGGCAGAAAATAAGATCATCTAAGTTATGAGGTATGCAGGAGCTATTTTTAAAGCCGTTATTTATATCGAAATTGGTAATGTGCTTGGGGAACAAGTCTTTGGCAGACTCTGCTCACAAGAGGCCCAGAGCTAGAATAGCAGGGTTATAACAAGTCAGCATGCAATTTAATGTGCTTTATACTATTAGGTCCTTATATTCACAAGCATCAAATGGATGGCAAGCCCACAGCCCCTTTTTCACCATCCTTATTGGTTGTCTTTCTTTTTTTAGTGTGTTTTGCAGCTAGATATGCTGTTAAGTGGCACCCTGAGATGGCAAGATAAATAGAGAGCAGGCACTATCTACATTAGACAAAGTGTGTAGCACGCAAATGTACATCTACACTGTGAACACACAATACTGTAGGCATATTCATAACAAAACATTCTCCATTTCCAAAATGCACGGCCCTAGTGAAGGACAATTAGCTTATTTTATCCTATAAAAAATTGCTGTACCATGACCCTAGAACCACATTCAGATTGAGCTGCGTCAATGGGGCCATGGGCGGCGAGTTATACGGGCTTGTGGTGCCCATGCTCCAGCAATATCCAGAGCCGGAGGCTCTGCTCCAGCAATATTTGGAGCTGGGTCTCTCCAGCCCTGCTTGGAGCGGGCCCCGGCCCCCCTCCCACGCGTCCTCCCACACCGGCCCTAGAGCGTCTCTCCCCCGTACCGGCCCTGCTGTACACAACTTTCACTCAGCTTCCCCTTGCCGGCTACTTCTGCCATGCGTGGCATGCTCAAACGGCATGCTCAAGCAGTTGGGTGGGGAGATGCTGGGCATGACATGATGTGACGGCCTGCGAATTTAAAACTGCTCGCAGCTGAGTTGCGGGTTTGGAGTTCGGGGACTTCTAGGGCGGAGCCCAGACTCCGGCCCCACAAAGTAGAAGGCAGAAGGTAGGGGAGGGAGAGGGGAAGTGAGAAAACTAGGGGAAGGGCTGGGAGAGGAAGGGGCTTGCGTGGAGGGGGAGGGGACGGAGAAAACTAGGGGAAGGGCTGGGAGAGGAAGAGGCATGTACGGAGGGGGAGAGGAGAGGGGGAAGAAAGGGAAAGGCATCAAAGGGACATGGTAGAGGAGAGACAAATGCCAAGGGGCCAAGCGCAGACAATGAGGAAAAGGGCAGGAGGGGAGGTGTCAGTGGGAGAGGGGCAGGGGGATGCAGGGAGGGGAGGGGGTAAGGGCATTGGAGGCTGGAGGGGGCAGTGCTGGGAGAAGGCTTGAAAGAAGGGGTGGACATGAGGAAGGCAGGGATGGAGCAAATCATGTGTGAGGGCACAGAGGAGCTTGAGGGGAATGGGGGCGGAGGGTGGTGAGGGGGTGGGCATCAGGGAAAAGGAGGGCAAAGGAGGCAAGGGCAGTGAGGGAAGGGAGAGGTACTAGGAGGGTGCAGGTGTAAGGGAAGGTGCAGGTGCCAGGGGATTCTGGGGGTAAAGCAGAAGGGTAGACACCTGCAGGGGAGGGACTAGCACCAGAGGAGAGAGGCAGGGCAGGTTTGTAGAGGGAGGTGTTAGAAGAGGGAATGAGGAGGGGTAGGTCACGTGATCAGAGTGGGGCTACTGGAGGAGTGGACACAAGGGGGAGAGAAGGGCTGGGGGAGGGGGCCAGGTCTCAGGTGAGCTGAGGGCAGTGAGAAGGACAGAAGTCAGGACAGCAGAGGAGAGTGAGGAGTTGGGGGGCAGCAGGCACCAGGGGAGCTGATGGAACAAGGGAAGGAGACATGGTAGCAGAGAGAAAAGGTAAAGGTTTAAAAATATTTATTAATAACTTGGGTGCCACAGTGGCACATCCAAAGAAGCCACATGAACTCAGTACTGGAACTCAGTACTGGTGCACAACACAAAATTCATTCTGCTCACGGGAGGAAACTCTTAGGCTATGTTTACACTGGCGGCTTCTTGCTCAAGAACATCTTGCGCAAGGGTTCTTGTGCAAGAAGTCTTGCGCAAGAGCACGTCCACACTGCCATGTGCGAGCTGTGCTTTTGCACGAGAGCGTCCATGGCAGTGTGGACGCTCTGTTGCCCAAGAAAGCTCCAATGGCCATTTTAGCCATAGGGGTTTCTTGCGCAAGAAATCCCTGCCGAGCATCCACACTGCCCTCTCGTGCAAGAGAGCTTACACCTGTTAGAAAAGAGCACAGCTCTTGCACAAGACGCCCTGCCCTCGCTTACCTTGCCACGTTGTAAATTTCCTTGCTCAAGAGCAGGCGGGCAGTGTGGATGCTCTGTGGGTTCTTGTGCAAGAATGGCTGTACTTGCGCAAGAAGCCATGAGTGAAGACATAGCCTTAGAGGGAACACTTCCCCCCGCCTCTCTGCCCCTGAGTTAATGTCACACACATTGCGTTAATGCAACTGCAGGATAGCTGCATGAGGGGGGTTTGGTGGGGGCCAAACTAATCCCTGTTGGTAGGAGGATGGTGGGAAAAGCCCTTCTAGAGGGGTGACAGGACACCTTTTACTTCTGGTCATGTGTCCAACTTGCCCTGAGCGTGTTACCTCCAGAGGCGTGGCTAATGGGGGAGCATGGCTAACGGGGACCATGGGGTGTGGCTAATGGGGCACCACCAAAAATTATACAAAACTGCCGCCCATGAATGGGGCTAGGAGGCTTAAAAAGAAAAGTGTCCAATACGCCAATGCTATGGCAACAGCACAATCTGAACAATCTACATACACGAGCTAGCAACAGACCACTGGTCTTTTAATTAAGTATCCTGCCAGGCCACTGATAGCTGATGAGCAAAGGAAAGGGACAAATAATAAGCAAAGGTTATTTTAGCATTGAAACAAGCCACAATCAAAGGGTCATAAAGACTGTAGAGCACGTGTGTGTGTGTGTGTGTGTGTGTGTGTGCGCGCCCGCACAAGTAATCAATCCATTGTCAACATAAAATTAAACAAGGCCCCAAAATTCTCCCACGTAACACTGTTGATGAAGTGACACACCCCCTCGCACAGTGTGTTAATGTACACCCCTCCCCCCAGATGTAGCAACAAGTCTTTGGAGCTCACACTTCCCCTAGTCACGCCCCATCATGGTAGTAATTTCCCACCCACTCACTGCTATGTTGGTGTGCTGAAGCCAGCGCAGTGCTGTGCTTTAGGCCGGACAGGCAGTGCATATTGCTGGATTGCTCTCTCAAATCCTGTCCACCTTGACCTCCCCAGCTGCTGTGAAGGCATGGCCGTTCTGCTGCTGAGGTCTGCATCTGTTGGAGAAAGAGCTAGATTTGTGACCTCCCTCCCCCGCCAGTGAAGAACAGTCAAATGGATGACACTAAAAATG